GTACACTTTTAAAGAAATAGAGCAGGGGCCCACAAAAAAGAGAGGTGTGTTATAATCTTGAGTGGTGAATATTTCTGTGTTTTGTGGGGTGAAAATCTGTAATTTGTGAGTCTAGAAAGTTTGGGCTTGGTTTACAGGTGGCAACTAATGGTACAACCCAGGTAGAAAGATAACAGCTTGTTTTACAGGTGAAAGGGGAACACATTTCAAAGAAGAAAGTCATGGACCCTGGATATTACTGCTTGATTTTGTTTTAAAATGGTTAACCCAAGATGCTTTGCCTAAAAGCAGTCTTTGAAACCCTTGAATGTGTTTCTCTGTATAGCAAGCTCTATTTTGCCAGCTTGCTATATGTTTAACCTCACTAGTAATCAGAAAAGCCCAAAACAACTTGATCTCTTAGCCCGATCAAGTTGACACATACAGTGAATCAGCACAATATATTAAAAAAAAATCAACTTTATAAAGAATGTACCAGTGAATGCAATATAAAACGCACAAAAGGGGCCAGGGAAGTAACTCCGCGGCACAAGCGCCTGCCTGACAAGTGTAAAGTCCTAAAGTTCAACTCCAGGCACCAAAGACAAAGCAAAACAAAAGGCATGAAAGGAACATGAATTTTTGATGAAATACACTTCAAGGAAAAACCTGGTAAAGCATGAGAGAATTTTATAATAGAAATCTCACTTTAAAAAAGTGGTGGAAATGTCCTCATCTTTTAAAAGAAAGACAAAGCAGGTTAAGAAGTGTATTCTTCAAGTGTATTTTTAGTGGTTAGTATTGTTAGGATTACAAAAATACACAAGTAGTTCCATATCAGAAAAATCTTTTATTATAAAATATTAAATTTAGAGAAAATTCATAGCATAATAAATTGTAAAATATTGAAATGTCACTAGATATTGAAAAATTATTTGATTTTCAACACATTAATAATATTAATAAAAATCAAAACATCATAAAATTTATAAAAAGTATGTTTTAAATGCACTGAGAATGTTTCTTTCATATTTAAAAATCGAACACAAGGGCATTCTCATTAAAACCATGTACAATATAAAGACATCTGCTGTCATGACCATTATTGAAAATGATTACGAAGCTTTAACAAGTGTAATAAGACCAGAAAAAAAGCAATTGGGATACATACAAGTTGGAAAAGAGAAGACAAAATTTAATTTTTGCATGATGATATAATTACTTAAAAACTCAGGAAAATTAACAACCAAGTTAGTAGTAACTACAGAATTCTCATCATGTGTTCAATTACAAGATAAATACACACAACTTAATTGCAGTCAGATGCCTCCAGGGACCAGGCAGACAACAAAACTGCGAAGCACACAGAAGGGTCCATGACTCTCAAAAGCATCGGCTTTCTCGCTTGTGCACATTTGTGTCAAGAGGGGCTGTAAGTACAGTCGCTGATTTTTCAACAGAATTTATAAAGCCAGATTTTTGTGTAAAACATCATGTTGTCTATCTACAGGGAACAGTGCAAAAACAATTTAAACTAAATACAATCATCGACTAGACACAGTCATGGGCCTCAACTATGCAACTATTGATCGGTATATAACTAATCTGCAAATATAATGGAGAATTACTAGTGAGGTTAAACATTATACTCATTGGTATATTTCCAATGGTTGATATTTCCTATTTTATGACTTGTTTTGCAACATTCTGTGTTGAATAATCTCTGGAAATGCCTACAAAGGAAAATTGGGTCACAGTCCAGGGACTCACACATGCCAGACAAGTGCTTTACCACTGAGCTACACTGTCAACCCAAGATCAGTTAATTTTTATTTTACTTTGTTTTATTTTATTATTTTTGGTACCAGGAATCAAACTTAGTACCTTGCAATTGCCAAGCAGGCACTGCAGCCTCTGAGCTATCTCCCCAGTCCTGGTTAATTTTTGAATAGCATAACACTTGAAAAAAAATTAAATTCTTATAATTTCTACCACACCAATATAGTCCATAAAGAATTAAATGTAAAAAATAAAACTAAAAAGAAGTAGAAAAAATTTTTAAGTAAATATTTATGTAATCTTGGACTAGAAATATTTTCTAATTACCAACAGATACAAAAATTATAAAAGGAAAAACTGACCTTGATTATATACACTTTTCAACCATTTCAGGTCAAGAAACAAAATGCTGATGGAGGAGTAGGAAAAATATTTGAAATACACAGGGTCCATGTCCCTTACATAGAAAGATTGGTCTTACATATCAGTAAGAAGCATTTCCAGAGATTATTCAACACAGAATGTTGCAAAGCAAGTCATAAAATAAGAAATACCAACGGCCAATGAGTATAATGTTTAACCTCACTAGTAATCAGAAAAGCCCAAAACAAATTTTCCCAGTGGATCTGAAGATTTTTGTCAAAATTATTTTTGAGGTCTAATGTTGAAAAAGGTATTTATTTCTGGCAGTAGCATATACTCCCTCATCTAGAACAGTTTATCAGTGTGTGTAAGAACTCCTTGACTCAGCAAGTCTATTTACACAAGAGTTGTTTAAGGAAATAAGAGTAGATACACAGATTCAGTTGCAAGATTGTCATTACTGATACACTAACAGACACAAAATCAAAAAACAGAAACAATGTAAACACTAACAAATAACAAAGTTAATATATTCACACTATAATATTCGTGACAGCCATTCAGATTCTGAAGAAAGGTTTGAAGATTTTTATTGAAAAAATACAGTACATGGCTAGGGTTTTTAGGCTTATTTTAAACTTTAATATATTACAGTGAATAGTATGGTTCCAAATTATACAGCATATATCATACAAAGAGCTGGAAGGTATCCCCTGCATATTAACATTGATTATATTTAGTTGTGAAGTTGTTGGGTTCCTAATTTCTTTTTTTAAAGTTTTTGTTTTTCTAAAATGAGTATATTGGGGCTTTTTTAGCTTATTGTTTTGATAGCAAGAGAAAATTTTTAATTTTACTTGAACAGGAAGGAAGCTGGCATCCCCAGATACACTAATTTATTATAATAGTACTTAACTGTATGACAAGGTGCTGTATACAATTTGTGTGATTTAGTTTGTTCTATATGTCTCTAATTATACATACCATAGCAGTCAACAGGGTTAACTTTCTACTTAGGTTTTTGTTAGACTGCTTTCAAAATAAATCTGTATGTTAAAAACTAATAAAGAGAATCACCCCACAAATACACAAAACGCCAAAATAGAATTAGGCAGATTTTAATTTCACACTATGCAAAATTAAAATTTGATTGCAAATAGACCATAAAATGGATTTTCTGAATGTGGTTTATTAGAGTTGCCTATAAGTACCTAGTTTATCTATGGCCACTAACTACAGTTAATGGACCTTGTGCAAATATTTACAGGCCCAAAGAGAGATTTATTGGCAGACTTGGCCTTCTTTCCAGGCTGAGTTGACAGTGAATTCCTGCCAACCCCTCAAATATACAGAAAAAGAAGCCAAAAAGAGTTTGCCAAAGACTTAAGTAAGGAAAAGTCTGGGATTGCAAAGGATGTGGTATTTACTACATGAATGAGAGTAAGTCAGGTGTCCAAAACAAACTAAGTGCCACAGGTAGAAATTATAAATTTCTCTACATTAAGATCTACAATCTAAGAGCCCACATTTTAAAAACAACACAGCATTTCTCTGGCCTAAGCAGTCACTCATTGCCCTTTGCCCACTGCCACCGAGATAGACTTCCTAATGTCAGATGGTCCGTCCAGAGCTTGGCCTTATCCTCCCGAACAATCCCAGACAAACCCTTATTTTTGAGTCCATCTGCCATCTAGTGAGTCCCCAATGTATATCTGAGTGTCCTCCAACTTCCTCACTAAGATACCTGTCATCCCAAACTTGATCAATTCCAAACTCTGTCTTTCTCCCCGAACCTATTCCCTCCATTAGACTTCACAGTTCAGTAAAGGACATTACTATCCATCTAACTGGCCCAGCCAAAATTTATTTTGGATCTCCCTGATACAGACTCCTCAGCAAGTCTTTACCTCTCTCTCCAATATCAAAGAGGCATGCTGAATCCATCCACTCTTACCACCTCTAGAACTAGCTAGCACTTGCATTCAAGCCAAGATGGTGGTCGCTCAACCGGTTTATCGCAATAAATTCCTACATGGTCTTTGTAGAGTCCATGCGCCATTGAGCAGCCAGTGTTTTTTAAAAGCGTAACTTATATGTAGTTACATCTGTCCGTTGCACATAGGAAAACAAACAAAACCCCTGGACTTCTGTGGAGTGTGATGGAACACACCTGTAATCCCAGCACTTGGGAGGCCTAGGATGTGATGTGGCTTCAAGGCCAGCCTGACCTCATAGCAAGACCTTGCCTCAGAAGAAAAAAAGTCCTGAACTTCTCACCATAATCCCTTCTGCTATTCAGTCCTTGCCAAGTTCATCCTCCTTGAGGGCCACTGCATTTTTTGTTTCTTTTGCCTAAAAGTTTCTCCACTCCTCTTCTATCCCAACCCTGTAATTAATTAAGATAGTAAGAAATTAAGAAAACACACGGAGAATATGCAGCGTGTAAGTGGCAATCAGAAAACTGGGGTCATTGGAAACTAATCTCCCACTGTTTTCAAGCTAAAACACCTGCTCCAAACCAATGACAATAACTCCAGTCAACAACTGACGTGATTCCTTGGCTCAAGAGCTGCTCTTCTCTGGGACCAGTCCCAACAGTTAGCTTCTGTCTTGGAAATATAAAACCTAAAATAGAAATCTGGAGACTGGAACTCCCTGGAGCTGGTTACCTGATGAAAAGCCTACAAACTGTTCAATTTGCTGCATGCCCAGGCCTCTTGTTCAGCAACTTTAGGGGAGTTTATGAACTACTCAATATTCTTCAAATTAGTCCTTTATCTAAAGTTGGCTTCTGTAGCCTACAACTAGAAAAACAAAACTTATAAAGGATCCCATCCTGAATACCTGGTTGGCTGCCTACAACTCAGCTTCTTGAACTCTTTTCTTATTGACGACTATTGACTACCCTGGGACATCTGGGCACTCTAAATTCAACACTGATATTGGCATACAGCAACAGTTTCACATGCCCATGTGTGCATATACACACACATGTTTTACACATGTACACACTTACGTACACTCCTGTTCTCTTTCCAAGTCTTTCATCACCTTCTGTATTTTTGTCCAGCATCCTTCAGGTTATATTTCTGTTCTGCTTGGATGTTCATTCACTGTACATCTTTCCGTGTCATGTTGACCCTCCAATTTTCATGAGAAAATTAGGAACTCTATTCCTGTACATGAAGGAGCCCCATGTGTGCCCAGTGAATGAATCTCAGCTCCAAGAATGAATCCTTTCTCTCTCGGAGGAACCCTGTTCCCTTGTTTTTCCAGGGGTTTCTTCTTTCTATTTTATTGCTCCCTGTTGCTGTGCTTAACCATCAGGGCAAGGATTGTAATTTTGGAAGTCAAATATCCCTTTGATGAATGTTACATTTTCCACAGGAAAAAAGTGTACAAATGTGTGAACATGCACGCGTGCATGCACACACACACACACACACAATTTTGTATACATCCAGGGTTCTTGGGCTTCTAAGAATCACTTCACTAAGTATATCAGCTCACTTTTTATTATTATAACAAAATACCCTAGGCAGGCTAACTTGACAGCAAAGAGGGTTACTTAGCCCAGGGAGCATTCTATGACATTGCCTTAGCCCTGGCAAGGATCCTCTTGGCTGGGTCATATCATGGCATGTGAGACAGAGATCACATGGTGAGGGAGAAAGCCAGAGAAGCTGGAATCCCACAGTCCGTCCTAGGTGTACACCCCCAGCGACCAAAGGCCCTCCTAACAGGCTCCCTCTTTTAAAGGCCCCTCACCTCCCAGCACCGTACTGAAGACCAAGCCCTCCAACACATGACCCTTTGGGGAGGACAACATCCAAACATCCATGAACTATGTTACTTCTGTGAGCCTTTGCCACCCCATGCACCTCCACATCACCATTATTCCCCACATTTCTCTAGCAATGACTAACCCAGGCTTCTGCTACCTCTGCTGAGAGAAAGAAAAACAAACAAAAAGCACCTCCAACCACTCCAAGCAGTTACACTTATGCATCATTAACTGCTTCCCACATTGGAAGACTTCTTCAGGACAAACACTTTATAATTTCCTAGATTATAGTTTATCTTGCACCAGCAACGTTTTTAAATGCTTTCCTTTGTGAGGAGGCATTCCTGGGCCCTGGCTGAGATTAGGAAACAGCCAGATCTTATCAACAGCACACCTACTAAGAATTTCTTCAGTGGGTTATTTCCTGGGAAGATTATCACAGTGATTAATCTCATCAGCTTTTTGTTGTCAATTTCAGAGGGTGACATTTCTGGCCTTGTTCCCGGATTCTAGAGATGTTGTCAAATTGAAACCTGCAGCTTCTTAGACTGTCTCTATCTTCTAATTAGAAAAGTGGTTTGAAAATGTTGGTGCTTTCTGTGTTGCCTCCTCCAAGCTAAATTAGAGTCTAGGGAGGAAGAAAAAAAAAGTTTTAAAAAAACGGAAGAAGAAGGGCTAGATGGATAAACTAGAGCTGGGTTAAAAACTGGACAGAATAGGATTTGTTTGTTTGTTTTCCTACCAATGCCAGTGGCTCATGGCTGACCCTAACTCCCTAACACTTTTGTTCAAGTTAGTCTGATTCTCCATGGGCATATTGCCAAAATCACTTTGTTAGATTATTTCATTTTTCTTTAGAGTCAACATGGCCTACTGTAGTTTTTTTTTAATGTGATAGGCTAAATGCTGGTTTTCTCCAGAATTCTTAAATTGAAACCTAACTTCCAAGGTGATAGCATTAGAGGTAGGGCCTTGAGGAAGTGATGGACCTCTGAGAGAAGAGCCGTCATGAAAGGAATGACTGTCCTTTTAAAAGACTCTGGAGAGCCCCCTTACCCTCCTGCCATGTTAGGACGCAGAGAGAGGACAGCTGTCTGAACCAGGAAACTGATTCTCAGCAGATCCCAAATCTGCCAGCGCCCTCTATCTTGTACTTGCCAGTCTCCAGGAATAAATTTCTACCATTTATAAATGACTGGTTTATAGTGTTTTCTCAGAGCAGCTCTACCTTGGCACTGTCAGCATTTGGGGCAAGACAGTTCCTTGTTGTGGGGCCTCTCCATGTACTGCAGGATGCTTAGCCACACGCCTGACCTGCCCCAGCAGCGCACCCTGGTGGTGACAACTGAAACATCTCCACACACTCCCCAGTGTGCATGGAGAGGGAAGCAAAATTACCTGTTTAAAATTTACTCAAGCAAGCAAAGGTCTGGAGGAAAGACCTGGGTTCTGATTCTTAGATGCTCATAACCTTGGTAGGAAGAGGTGGTGGATTCTCTGAGTTTGTCTTCTTGTCAGCAAATAGTATTCTCAAAAAAAATTTTTTGAGCATTACATTAAACAAGATGATGTGCAAAAAGCATTTAGGTTCATAATAGGTGCTCGATAGACATTTGCTTCCTCCCTATACCCACAGCACTTATTTAGCAAACATTTTTACCTGCTTAAGCTGCATGCTTAAGTGTATAAACACAAAGTAACTCCTGTCCTCCAGGAACTACCTAACTCTAAGAGAAAGAGACAAATGCACAGTTTAATATAATACAGCAAGCACGTTAATAGAGGTTATTTACCAGCTCTTACAACTCTAGTTCTATTTTTTTTCTATAGTAGTTAATTCACTCTGCCCATCAGCTCACCTTGTACAGCACTTGAGAGAGGCATGGGCTGTGGATTGAATCAGGAAAAATTGGTGTCAATTCATCTGGAGGGCAGGAGAGGAGCAACCAGGCAGAGAAACAGCACAGGGAAGGGCTTCATTGTGTGGCTTCCAGGAACTGCGTTATCCAGTAGGCTACAGTGAGGGCCAATAGGGGAAACTGGTGCGAGACGGAGGATGCCAGGGCTTGGACTTCTTGCAGGTCACGGAATCCCCTAGGATGCACGGAATCCCCTAGGATGCTTTCATCAGGATGGTGACACAGTTAGATCTGCTTTGGAAGGCACACTGTGGTAGCAGCGGGGGCATAGAGGAGAGGTGGGATGAAGGGCAGGAGAGACGGAAAACAAGAAGACCAGTCGGGGGTCATCGATTCCAGATGAGGAATAATGAGGGCCTGCACTGTGGGACTGACAATGACAATGGCAAGATGCCAGGAGGCTCTAGGGACATTAAAAGGCAGGACTGACAGGGTTTAATGACTGATTAAATGGGGGAGCAAGCGATTATAAACTTCTAGCTTAGAAAATTAGGTGGATAGTGATGGCATTTAGACATAGTAGACAGTAAACTGTTCTTTCTCACAGCTGCCAACATAAGCCACTCTCCCTAGGCCCCACTTGACAGATTCATGTACAGCTCAATTCAACAAACCTAGGAGAGTATGTGGCACATCTAGCACCTCCTTGATGCTGGTTACTACTATCTGTCTTTTCTTGGATCTGTGAAAGGCCTGGGAAAATAATTACAATGAAATAAGCATTAGCCCCATTCCCCAGCAGAGATAGCGTGGGACTTACATGTAAGGTGATCTGCGTTATATCAGAAAATGTTTCACAAAAGTCATCTTCGAACTAAACAAGAGCTGGAGAGGAAGGGAAAGAAAGTATAGTCAAAGGATTTTCAAACACAAAATCACAGAGAGGTCTATAATTTGGTATGGATGGAGGGCAGGGTGAGGTGGAACATGAAGAGATACAGACAAGAACTAGGTCATAAAAGGTCTCGTGAGCTACACTAAGGATTTTCAAAGGTATGATTAATCACTGAGCGATTGTAAGCAGGGATTTTAAGTTCCAAAGAAAGCCCCTAGTGTTTAACCTACAATAAAGGAAACATCTAAGTACAAGTAGCTACCAGGTTCCGTTAGTTTTGTCCAATTGATGGACTAATAAACAACTGTATATACATTTTACTCTAGTCTTGCATGACTAAATTACAAGGTGTGTTAAAAATCCAGTGGTGACGGGGAGTTTAGTTCAGCGGTATAAGCAACTACCTGGCAAGTGTGAGATGGTGAGTTCAATCCCCAGTACCAATAAATAAATAAATATTGAATGCATAATGCACAAATTAATTTACAGTAGCCAGGTGTGGTGGTGCATGTCTGTAATCCCAGCACGTAGTAGACTGAGGCAAGAGAATTGTCACAAGTTTGAGGCCAACATGGGCTACAAAGTGAGTTTAAGGCCTGGTTGAACTACCAATCGAGAACCTATCTCAAAAAAAATTATGTTACAGAAAAGACACATTACCACGAATCCCCTTCACTTGATACATACTTACCCCATCAGCTTTGCCACTTTCTTAAGTGATTCTAGACATCCTATTTCCTGGGTAACTTCAGTTGCACTGCTGTGGCTATCTCGATGTTCTAAACCAATTCTAAATATTTATGTCTCATGATCGCTTTTACTCTGGGAGAGGCAGAGGTCTTGCCATACCAAATCCAGTGATCAAGGTGGGTCAGGACGCACCAGGTTTTACAAGCCTGCCTTTCTGCCGGATGGCATTTGGCAGCAGCGTTCACTAGTTTTGATTCCCCCTTTCTGTCGTCTCCTCTGTGAGACTGTGAGTTCCTTAAAGAGAAGACTGGTGTCTTCATCATCTCCGCACAACCAGGTTAGCTGAGTGCCTAGCCCAGAGCAGGGGCCTAGAAGGTACGTTCAAGATGAGGGAGTGATCTGTTGGGTGACTTTTCCTGCTTTCTCTGAATTCTAAGCTCCAGGGATTTATTTCTTGCTCATCAGAGCTAAATGTTAAGGACAGTACAGAGAGAGTAGTAGAAATTTGCCACCGGAAGATGTGGGTTCTGGTATCACTTCATACACTAACTTGGACTCTGAGAAAGTGCATATATTTTAAAACTTAGTGTTCTCATCTGTGAAACAGATCTTTTTTAAAATCCTCACATCACGAAACAATGTGTGAAAGTATTTTGTTGCACTACACATATAGAAGTTGTATATTTATATATTTCTTCTTCCTTAAAAGTGAACATGTATTCAGAAATCTGGAAAAAAACAGATTGGGTCCCAAGTCATTTTATTATAATCCAGTTAAAATGCTAATTGTATTTTTCTACCGGCGTTCATGCAGTTGTTCTGGGTAATGTGAATTAGATTCTGATTGGTCCTTTCTCATTCCGGTGAGTTCTACTGGCCTGCCTACTTCTCATTAGTATGCAGGGCATTTGTACGGCCTTTCACTCAGCTCTTCCCTACAGAATTCCATGAGTACCATGGCTTTACTTCCCAGGTCTGCTAGAGTGCCACATCAAGATGCCTTCTGCTGTACTTTGGATCTCAAATGTCCCCAAGGTTTGTATCTTAGAGGTTTGGTTACCAGCTTGGTGCTATTGAGAGGTAGTAAAAATTCTAAGAGGTAAAGTCAAGAAGGAGGTCTTCTGAGGGCTTGTCCTCAAGGAAGACTGGGGACCTCCCTGCCTCTTCTTCCCTTCTTGGTCATAAGAGAATCAGTTTTGCTTGGCCACATGCTCCTGCTGTGATGTGCTACCTTGCACAGAGTGAATGGGGGCAAGTCAGTCATGGGGTGAAATCTCTAAAACTGTGAACCAAAACCACCCTTTTCTCTCCTTAAGTTGATTATTGTGGGTATTTATTATAATGATAGGAAGTAGACACACTGTCTCTAAGCACTGTCTCTAACCCGCTTTCTTCTCCTCACTGCCATCACTCTGTGCTCCCTTGGCACCTTACTTTCCTTTATGACTATCATTAGAATTTTGTGTTTGTTTACTCTTTGCCTCACTCAAAGCTTCATTTAAAATGTTTAGAAAAATGCTTGGCACATGGAAGGTACTCAGGGCCTTGTGTTAAGTAGTTTGTTAAATGAGTGACATTTGCTAAATAAATGAAGTTTTTCCTCTGTAATCAGCCATTACCATACATCATTGTAGAAGGACTTTGAAAATAAGGCATAATTGGAATCAGAAGCCTTTAGGGTAGGTTCAGCTCTAGTCTTACCATTAACCAATTATTTGGTCTCAGAAAAGCACTTGTTTCAGAGTTCAATTTTCTTATCTGTAAAATAACATCTTCTACCCTTCCCCTCAATTACCCCCATCTTATAAATTGTAGAATTTTCATGAAACTTAATAGGTTCTCATGCAACATTTTATTAGTGGAATGTTTCTGATTTTACTGCTACCTTCTCAACAACACGGACTCTTGTCTAATTTATCTTAGTACAGGACTTAACACATGGCTGGAATCTATAAATAACTGCCACAAAAATGGAGAGCAAAGAATTAAAATTTTTCCTTTGTGAAATGAACTGAACTGCAAATATTCATGCTCCAAATTATTTTTAAATAGTCACTATAAGTGTCATATCATTTTGTATGGCAGACATTGCAATTAACAGAGTGTCTGAGCAGCTAGAAATGTTCCCGTTTAGTCTGGTTTTTGTTCAGGATAATGAATATAAATGCTTGGTTTGACTAAATGAATAGTTTTCCAAGTGCAGAGCTGAACAAAGCCTGTGCACTGTGATACTTCTGACCCTGGCAGAAGGCATGAGCTTCCATCTACAGAGCACCAACCTTTGAATGACCCCTGGCTCAATAAAGAAAAGGAGTTCTATGTAACTTCAGGGTCATAAACCAAACCTTCACTGTTTAGAATCAGCTAATATATGACAAGAATATGTAAATGCAAACTGTCAAGCCTGAACCAGACGTCTGAAGAATCTGTCTACCTTTGCAAAGAGTCAGATCAAGATTAGGAGTAATGTTTATAGTAATGGGCAGTTCAAACAACTATTTTGTTTTATTTATTGGACTGGAAGGGAAAGGTTAAGTCTAAAGTCCCAAAGGAGGTCCTATTTTAAAGGCTTGTCAACACAGTGGCTCATTCTGTGCCAGTATAAGCAGGTTGGGTATCTTAGCCAATTTAATCCTTACAAACAATTCTTAGGATTATATTAAAAATCCCCATTTTACATGTAGAAAACTAACATACACAAGGATTTTGCTTAAGGTCACAAAATCAGGATTTGAACCTAAGCTATTTAAATCTAGGCTGTCTCATATTATCAGTCAGTCTAGAACAATTTTTAACTACATAAATACACACAGCAAAACTTGTACTGCATGGCAAAATAAATTTAACAGGTTTTGGAAATCATGATCACGTTTTCTGCGGCTTGATTTACAAATAGCTCAACTAACACATTATAGTAGATCAACTTCTTAGACCAGGCTAGGAAGGGAAAGGGCATGATGAAGTGGACAATAACAAAGAACTCGTAAAACTTGGTTAGACAGGGTTTGGATGTGGGAGAGAATTACCAAGAATCCTTAATAAGAAGGTTTACAAACCTGGGATAGCTGAAAGAGAAATGCCCCTTAAGCAAAAACCTAACACAGTAGAAAAGACAAACAGACAAGACATTGGCCAGAGTTCACGTTGAGCTGTATTTATTTTGAAGTACTCTTTATTTTCTGAGTCAGGGTACTCTGGAAAAATCTGAAACGTAAAATAATGGAAAATACATGTGATTTTAGAAAAACTCACTTGAGATCCTAGCTCTGCCACTTATTAGCAAGACATTTAATCTTTGAGTTTTTGTTCATCTATAAAATTATAGTACAACTACTAACTTTGAGGTATAACTGTGAAAATTAAATGACTGTGGCAGAAGAGCTACCCAAAATCAATTAATCATAAAAAATCACCTTTATGATGTAAAAAAAATTTTTTGTGCCAGGGATTGAACTCAAGACTTCATGTTTGCCAAGCAGGCATTTATGCTGCTGAGCTAAACACCGGACCCTATGATATAAAATGTTAATCAGCCATTGTTATCATGAGAGGAAAGGAGGATGAATATTAGAATTCCAAGCATGTATAATCTTTAGAAAATTTACCACATAAAACAGAGGGTCATCTCCATATTTTTTTAGAAGGGAGACAGAGTTGCACACAAGAGAATTGTTTCAACTTCGATGAGAGATTAATCCCTTTAGGACTCAGCTTTAAGAACAGCTTTATTACTTATCACACTTTTTCAAGGAATATTTGAGATCTAAGAATATGTGTTCTTTAAGATCAGAAACAAAATGAGAGGGGCCGAGAATATAGCTCAGCAGGCATAAGCACCTGTTTGGCAATCCCAAAGTTTCCAGTTTGACCCCCCCCCCAAAAAAGATATTTGAAGATGGATAGATTATTAAAATATATTAGAAAATGCTATTGTGGTTTTATAATATTAGATGTGTGCTGATATACTCATAACGTTCAACTTTTGCAACTTCACAAATTTCAGAAAAATATATATATTAATAATAATTATATATACATATATGTGGGAGACAACTCCAGTGTCTCCTTTGAATCCAAAACAATTATTGTGACCTTGAATATTTGGAGACTCATTTCCCTATACTATATATAAAAAAGGTGGTTAGGGTATTTCCTTCTCCTCAATTAACTCTGAGCATGGCAAACAAGGCTAGCCCAGGTGCTAACGTGCAGCCATCACAGATGTGAGAGACAACTCTGGTGACTCCCTTCAGATTCAAAACAATTGCTGTGACTTTGATTACTTGGGGACTCATTTCCTTATACTGATCTGTGAAAGGCTGGCTAGGATATTTGCTTCTCTCTTCAGTTGCATTCTAAGCATTGCAAATAAGGCTAGGCGAGGTGTTAGTGTGCAGTCTAGCCATCAGATGGTCCTGTTTCCTTGCATGGTGCTCTCCACATTACAGGATTGAGCTGGCCAGATGCAGAGCAATTTGCTCCGGGAATGTCAGCTGGGTAGGAGCCTCAAGATAAGAGGCTATGACTCCCTTGGGCACAAGAGTTTGCATATCTAAAACTGAAGCAGTAGCCCCCCAAAACAATTCTACTGCTACCTTAATCAGGTTATGTAAACTGATCCTTCTGCATGTCTTTATCTCTGCAAATTACAGAGATGCCATCCTCAAACCTGGCCAGCCAGCTCAAGTTACTCAATAATCCCCGACATCCTGACTATCACTCATCCCTGAGCCACTCCTCTCTTTCTTCACAAGATAATAAATGCTGGGAGAGGCCTAGAATCGAGGCCTTTGTCCACATGTCATCAAGGGAAATGGATTTAGGACCCCTTGGCTGCCCTTAATTTGGAATATGCTTTTGTGTTTTTACTCTCGCCGTGGATTGCACTGGTGCTAGTGGTAGATTGGAATTGACTGGCTGGGATTCCAATAACATCTCAATAGCATTACAAATATAACTGTTTGGATCGCGAGGAAAACTATGAGGATTATAATATTTGGGTGACTGAATTCGATATTTGGGTTTCCAATACATATAGAGAGAGAATATGGCAAAATGCTAATTGTTGAACTTAGAAAACAGTTACTATTTAACTATGAATACCATTTAAGCAGCCCTGATAGGGAGCAGGAAGGATGCAAGAGATTACATTTAGAGGCCATATCATGTAAACATTTTTCATAATTTTTTCCACGTTAGAGGATAGAAGTAATAACACCCATAAAAGGGTAACATTAGACAAGTAACATATATTCAGTCAAATATAAACTCACTGAAGGTCAGGTTCTACACAAATCTTGAACCAATGTTATATCACTTACACAATCAGATGGTGAGAAGATAGTAACTAAAATCTGTGGTATATGGATCCCATTCATCATCATCATGGTCCTCATCATGGTCCAGGAAGGTTTATATTTGTAATCCCATGGAATTCTAGTGAGTTAATTCCAATCTACCACTGCCAGTGTGGAATAAAGACACTAAGACACATAAGGGGAGCCAAGTCCAGCCAAGGTCCTAAGTCCAGCCAAGATGGTGGTTCACCAGAACAAAGGCCCCAACACAGGGCCCAACCTGGGTTTTATTAATTCTCTGTGAGGGGAGTGGCTTGGGAATGAGTGACACTGAGAGTGGCAGAAAACACATGACTGCCTTGAGCTGGGCTAGGTAGGTCTGAGATCACCTCTGTGACATGCAAAGAGGGTAAGAAATGCAGAGAGACTAATCTGCATAGCACAATTGAGGTAGTAGCTATTAACTTGGAGTCAGTGCTTCAGTTCTGATGTAAACCTTTCCTCCTTTAAGTTGTGGGTATTGGGTATTTTGTTTCAGAAGAAAGTGAATAAGACACTTATTGTACAGGACATAAATGGCACAATACCCTCTGCATTCTTATATCTGCATTTTTTGTAAAGAATTTCTGACAAGGAAATATTCAGAGTTGAAGACCCAAATAGAAATGTTTCATGTTCTTTTTTTTTGCCTTGTTTTTTTGAAACAAGGTCTCGTTATGTAGTTCAGGCTGACCCTGAATTCACTACATAGCCCAGGCTGCCCTCAAATTCATGGTGATCCTTCTGCCTCAGCCTCCTAAGTGCTGGGATTACAGATGTGTACCACCATGCTGGGTGACATTTGTTAACTTCTAACAATGCCATGTGAGAATGATCTAAAATATAGAAAGTGTTTAAAGTCATATTTAGAATGTTAAAAACTGAAAATAATCTTGGTCTAACAATGGGAAGTACACTGAGTGTAGTGGCTTTGGGTCGGAGCTAGGGATGTAGGCAGGCTCAGGGGTTGAGGCGTCTCAGTCTTCAACAAGGTCTTGCTATCCACACAAAACATCATGATGCCTCATGGTCAGGGTCACCAAGATAGAAAGCTTGGGAGAAGCCATCTTGGCCAAAGTAGCGCATGGGTCCTCATGGGTGTGCTGGGTCTCACACATGAAGAGAGAGCAGTAGCCACTATTTCTCTGCATCCTGTGCTTTTACTAGAGCCATACTAACAGAAGGGCCTGGAACACCAAGTTGTCCTCAAAATCCTCAGGGCATCTCCCCTCCCCCACCACTATGGCTTCCAGTGAAAGCAGTCAATGCTCTGAGGGCTCCAGCAGGCAAGTAGAGAAAGAGTCCAAGTCCCCTCACAGGACAAGGACACCCCTCAGGTCACGCATGATGAATTCCTGTTTGACAAACTGGTATCACTCCTGGTCACTATGGAAGAAATGCACTTCCCTCTGATCTTTAGGGAACTCTGAATGCATGTGTCTGCACTTTGGCATTGAGATAAGGGAAGTGGTCCCCTGCCACACGTATGAGCTCGTCCTGCCTTGGGCTTCACTCAAAGCAGTACACTACACAGCGGGGTCCAGATCTTTCCCAAAGCAGACCTCCTAATAGTCATCCTGAATGTAATCATTATGAAGGGCATCCCTGGCTCCCTGAGGAGGACCTAAGGGAACTACTGAGAGATAGGAAGGTATAAGATGAGAAGGAGCACATTAATATTCGGAACCCCTGGAAATTCATCAGAGGATTTGGTATAGGAAGAGTACCTGGTATAGCAGCAGGTTCCTAACAGTGATCCTGCTTGCTGTGAGTTCCCACGGAGTCCAAGGGTCCAGGCTGAAACCACTCAGATCAACATCCTACATATGTTCAAGCTCGGTGGAACAGATCCCAGGTGTTACCCACATCTACATGAGCAGGCTTTGAGAAAGAAAGGATATGTGCAGGGCCTCTGAGGAGCAAGATATTTGATAGGGACAGGGAATGTTCCACAACTATGTCATGTCACTGTTTAGATTCTACTCTATGTGAAGTGAGGATCAAACCAGGCAGTTTTCTAAGTAGTAAAGGTGCAGGGGAAGGGGTAAAATACCATGCATGCAATCTTAATGTGTGTTCTGACAGGGTTATTGGGAAATGGTCATGTGTTTCCTTTATGATATTCTAAAATCTTATTCCTTTTTTGTGACATTCAAGTACTTTGCAGATCTTCATTAAAGAACGGTCTGGATTGCACATGTATTTTGATTTTCCAAGTTAGTATTTGAATGCGATTTCTGTTGCAAATGTGACTGTGTACAACACTGATCACAGCTGGATTTTGCTTTTCCATTCCACCTATAAGAGTCTTTCCTGTTTTATCAGACAAACAGGGAAACTTTTTATTTTGTTTATGGTGAAATAGGATTAGACTAGGTATTTTCTTGGAATTATATAAGAAATTTACTTGAGGTTAGAGCTTAGAAATACACACAAGGATGAAAATCAATTCTGGGGTTCTTACTTCCTTTTCCTACTGTTCTATACTATTAAAAATATGTGCATACTTAAATTTCCTTGGTTTACTTATATTCAGGAAAGAATCTATCTGTTAAAAAAAGGTCTAACAATGGAAGTTAGGCCTTTTAATTTATGATGTGAACAACCACATGACAGATTATTTAGTAATTTCAGTGCTAAGTACAAAGGGTAAGCTACAATAAAGAAAATTAAAGTAAAACATACATAAGGGGCCAGGGGAATACCTCAATGGTAGAGTGACTGTCTGGATGCTTAAGGCCTTGGGTTTGACTCTTAGCACTTCAAATAAATAAACAAATAAGAAAGAAACAAATACATTAACTATAAAACAGTAATCAGGAAAATAAAGACAATTATACTGGATGAGGAAATTCTACAGTATTTCTATTTCTCATCCCTTCCCCTTCTAGCTTTATCAACACATTTTTTAAGTTACTCAAAAATAATAGTAAAGGTAAGAATGCCATAGTTGGAAGGCCACTAGTTGAACAGTGATATACAAAGAGCAATCAACATGAGACCTAACACAGGGTAGGGGACTAGAAGGAATGTCACTGTCCTCAAATTTGACCCTGCTGTTTTCACTCAAACAGCGGCCCATGAAAAGCCACCTAGTCTTTCCTTCTAATGCCAGATCCTTAAAAGGTACCAGCGAAGAAATGCTGCCAATAATACAGTTCTTCATGATGACCGGCTTATGGTCACTTTGTTCTCAGACTTTAGGCCTGAATTAACACGAAAAATACTACTGCTCTGGAGCTTTTTGTTTATAATAGGTCTGCTGTTTTTGACTGAAAGAACAATTTAAGTGACTCATCTTTTAAAATCAAAACCACAAAATCATATTCCTATATCACTACATTTTAGAATATTATGAACCCCAACCAATATAGGATATATATTTAAGTTTTCAGGATTCTTGTTCAAAAAACACAGAAAACAGTTTTCCCCAGAAATATTAGTGATAAGGGGGACAGATCTGCCCACCAAAACCTCATTTTTACATATCCCTCCACAATTTCCAATTTAGCAGAGCAACGACACCTTAGAATGCTGTTGTTTATGTTTTCCAAGAGCCTCCCTTGAAGGTCTCAATTTCCAACACAACATTTTCATTAAATGGGGTGTGTTTAAGCTAGGAAATGTCTAACAAGTTCAATGATAAAACAATATTTTCCTAATATTTTTGCTATATCAATAGGACAACTAAATGCTAGATGAAAAACCCTTTTAAAATTAAAGAGATAAAAATATACTAAGGTGTGTTAATAGTTTGTATGTTTAAGGACCTCAAATATCCAAAGATATTTTTTAGTTATACATTAAAACGTTAGTATATTTTTAAGTTTCTACTTGCTAAAAAGGCTTGTCATCTAGAATTTGTGATTCTCCTGTTTCAGCCTGCTTGAGTGCTAGGATTATCAGGTATGCAGCACCATACCCAATTGGTCTTTCCATTTTAAAACAAGTATTCTTTACTTCCCATTATGTATAAATGAGTTCTAAGATTTTCTATAAGATGAGCTTCAATTAGTAAGTCCCTGTTAAGTATAAAGCAAACACTGGCTTTAATTTCTGTTGAAACAAAGACATTTTCACTAGAATGCTTAGAATATTCAAAAAAAAATTCCAAAACTATGTTTTTGGTCTGTTAGTCATATTTGGTTCTCTTTGTCAGGGGTTTCTTCTCATAATGGGAAATAATCTGAATCAAAACAGAACAGTTAATAAACAGGAAGAACAGGCCGGCTAACCAAATAAACAGAAAAGTATTCTTTCCTTGAAACTCAAGAACATAGGCAGGTGCCAGCCATAGGGCCTGCCCTATAAACCATAACATTAGGAGGACGACTGCTCTCTGCCAAGTCATTCTCACTAGTGGCATTACAAGGGGCAGAAGGCAGAGGTACCAAAGAAAGTACTGGGAGGTGCAGACTTTGTTAAAAGTCACAAAAATGTACGTATGAAGAAAACAACAAAAGACAAGGTCTCTGTAATAGGTGAAGGACACTGCTAAAAGCAAGATAAACTGTGGTAGGAACGCAGCAATTCCCAGAGGAAAACTCCATTTGCTCTCTGCAGTCAAATACAGCATATAGAAGTACGGGGAAAAGTTATGACGGATATCCCGCCTCGTCAGATGATAAAGGTAAGTGTGCTCCACAAATTCCCAACCATATTTATGGTAAAAACCAAAGCTCAGGGCAAAAAACGTGAGGCCAGCAACTGCAACAAAGCTCAGTACAGCGCGACTACACAGCCTCTTCAGGAATGCGTACAAATGAGCTTGGAAAGAATGCCCGGACTGATGGCATTCTTCATTGTCGCGTTCAGGAAGCAAGTGGAGAGTTATGGGAAGGGCATAGGTCACCGGATACATCTTCATATGCACCGCGAAACCGTAGAATACTGAGGCACACACGATGAGTCGTTTCTCTATTAAGTACAGGGCCATGAGCACCAGGGAGGCGACAATGGAGTCCGCGTTGCCTCGACTGGACACGGCCATGGGTAGAGGGTTGAGGAGCCAGAAGACACAGTAGCCACAAGCCTGACGCTGTTCCAGCCCCTTCAGAAGCAGCAGGCGGTACAAAAGGAAAGCGGTGAGGAGATCGCAGCTGATGAACAGAAACTTTCCAAACAGTTCACTGAGGTAGACATTGGGAGTGAGGAGCCAAGCCAGCAGCGGAGTGTAACGATAGGTCGCCCTCAGGTAAGGGGAGCGCCCCTGAGTGACGAAACGCGCAGCGTCGGTGAACACCTGGTAGTCGATGTCCGTGTACCTCACGTGCAGGGTCCGGTCCTGGAAGACCCCATAGAATACCAGGGCAACTCGGGCAAGAAAGGCTACCCCGAAGACGCAGGCGGGGTGCACCCACAGGCTCGGGAACCACGCTCCCCAGTGGCTTCTGGAGGCCATGACCTGACTGTGGGACGGCTGCTCAGCCCCAGCTCCAAACGGCGTCCAGATTGTTAATTGTCGCTACGGTCCCCATCAGGTGGTGGGCACTCCTCCAGCCTAGTAGGGCACCATACGGGGGAAAAAAAGAAACTACCGGACTCTCACTTCCGGCATAGAGCCCCGCCTCCTTGCTGCTTCCGGTCTCAAGCCCCTCTTAGGTTTCGCTGTCTAGCCCGCGACAGAATTTCCTTCCTTTGGATTGGTTGTTCGCTTTCACTTTACTTCGGAGGAGGCGGGATTTCCGGTTCTAGGTTGCGCGGTATTCGCTGGAGGGTAAGCGAACTCTGGTTTGGCTTTTGGTAAAGCTGGATGATTTATGACCCCTTCATTCGCCTCAATTCTAGTAGGTAAAAATGGGTCCTTGATATCCAGCAAGCCGCGAGCTGCAAACTGCATTCCTCATTCTTAGGCTGGAACCTCGAGATTGAAAAATGTAGGAATGAAAAGAGAATAAACGAAGAGTTCTCATACTTTATCGCAACGGCTGTCTCTCCGGCATTACAGAGGGGTTTGTGGGCTCATAGGGTGAGTCGAAGGAAGCCCAGAGTGTGTTCTTCGCAATACTTGGGGCATACTTTTTTAAATATTTTTTACCCGAAATTCAGATTTAAATGAGTAGCATTTCTGTCTGGCAACCCTGGGTGGAGAGAATGGGAAAGAAGATTGGGAGTTCTAAATAAATTATGCCTGGCCTTAGGCTTCAGTACCTTGGTGTTCGCTGTTCCTTCTGCCAAGGTTGTCTTCCCCTCCCCAGTCACCCTGGCGAACACCTTCTCACCTTTAAGCCATAAGTATCGAGCATATCGTAGCTCAGCGCACCTCTTCGTTACGCAGAATAATTTAGATGCCAGACCCCTCCGCTGTCTGAGGAATAGATGAACTGGGACGCGGGCTTCTTGTGTAGTTCTGAAAATCATTCAGCTTACCTGGCTATGTGGAGGTTCTGCTCAGTCCCTGTCACCCTGACGACCTGTGTTGCAAAGCTGCAATTATTCTCTTATTATAGCACTTGTTTTACTGCTAGTAATAAGTTATTTTGTTTTTCTCTCCTTGCTTTCCATCAAGACTTTGAGTTCCTTATGAACAGAAATTATCATGTTCTTTTCTATACCTTAATCTCTAACAGAACCAGACTCACAGTAGCCATTCAGTCAAAATTAATTGATCTGGATGTTTTCCTGTCAAAATACTTCTAGAATGGCAACCTCAGAATGCTCTCAACTCCTCGTTCTTTTCCCTTTCAAATATCCTTTAGCATGTAAAGGTCTGCCCTTCTCCCGTCCCACTGAAACCCTTCTTCCATGAATAAATTCTAACTGATTTGGTTTCACAAATTGAGCTTGCTGTCTAGAGGAAAATTTCTATCCTAGCATAAGGAAAGGAGGTGATTCCTTCCAGTCTGAACATGCAGCTACTCTTTATTCATCTGTCCTACAGCTCACATTGATCTTTTCAACGAGCCCTGTAAGCCTTATATATACTATATTCATATTCTATCTCTGTGTCTTTTAGTATGTCTTAGTATATTTACATGCCTTAGATTAATGATTATTTCTGACCATTTTTCTCAGAGGTACAGTGACAGCAGATCTCCATTCAAATAATAACTATGATGATGGTTTATACTAATTGGACTTGTTGAGGACTTACTTGCAGTGTGCCAGACACTGTGCTAAATACTTTTCAGGTGGTAGATATCCTGTTTTTACAAATGAGCAAAATCAGGGCTAATGGATAATAAGTAGTTTTCCAAAGTCACATAGCTAGCCAGGGTCAGAGCTCAAACCAGGTCTGTCTGAGCCAGAGGACCTTAATCACTATGTAGCCATCTTTCAAATATAATATTAATTGCAGTATGGTGCAAGATTGGCTTTAAAGGGTGGAGGGGGGTAGCTCAGTGGCACAAGTGCCTTCTTGGCAAACACAAGGTCATGAGTTCAAACCTCAATACAAACAAAAATAAAAAATAAAAAGACTGACTTTAGAGGACCTGCGCCAAGGCCCATCTGCAAGATCGCCCCACAGCCACTTACTCCAGAAATGTGATCATTTGACCCATTAAGTATACTATAGTCTAGAACTCCCTACACTGTTGATAATTTCCAATGCTGTGCCTTTCTCTAGAGAGATGACTAAATAACCAAGGGCTCAGGAGGCTGTACTTCCCACTGGAAGCTGCTTCTATAGCTGAAAGGAAAAAAACAGACACAGGTGCATGGGGTTAGGGCTTCCTGGGGACCTTGAAAGCCCTCTGCTTAGAGAAGGCTGAGAAGGCACTGGTTTCTCACTTCTGAGTTCCTGGAGAATCAGCCCTAGTGAAACATCTCACACAGAGCTTCCCAGTGCAGTGGTCATTCAAGCCTCCCTGGCCTACCTCTAAAGATTTTCCAGATCCCCTGCCTGCCTAGAGTACCAGAAAGACCTGGTGATCATTGAGTGCATGTACAACTTCTGTGACGCCTACATTCACCAACACTGGGAATATCTAATGGATGTCTTTCCTTATCCCATATGCCTCTGTCACTTCTTGCACAACCTCAAGAGTGATACTTAATTATGCCAAATGATGATATTGTCATATAGGTACCCACCACAGAGACAGCAAGGGAACTACTATGTGAGAAGCACAGTGAAAATCTGGACTTGTGCAAGGAGAAACTGGAACTGCTGTGTTGGCAGTGCAGGGTCTCTGATCACAGCATCACTACCTGAGGGCCATTGAATGCACTGCACCCAGTTACAAGGACAGCCCCATATACTACATTGAGGGCCTGAGGAAGCAAAGGGAAGATGCTGAAATGGGGTATAAAAGAGAAATTTCAAAGCTCATTAGACTGAAGTTGAAGAAGAAAAATTGGAGAAATGAATTATACTCTGAATTTGAAGAATTCAAGTCTTGCTTGAGAAAGGAATAAGTTGCAATGCAGGCCATGCTGCTTGATGAAGAAAAATTGTCAAAATCTAGTTGAGAATGAAAGCCAAATTGCAGACCACATACCTACATTAAAAAAATTTATTAAGTGAAATAAGAGGAAAATACTTGGAAACAGACATGGATTTGCTGAGAGAAAACAGAAGCATAAATGGCAGGAATAAAGGCGTAAAACCCTCAGAGGTAGTTTTCATGCAAGTTAAAGAGAGTTGCCACATCCCTGCACATTTTGAGCTGCCAAAAAATGATCAAAGCATTTCAGGTAAATTTGACATTAAATCTTTATACCATTTCCCCTAATCTTAAGATTTCAATAGATAGGAGAAGTGTGACTCCTGGGACGAGGGATTCAGCCTGTTTTCTCTGTTCACCTCCTTCTCATGTGGCTATCCAGAGCTTTTAGCAATTTGAAAGTGGGTAGTGAAAGGTTTGGAAGGTAGAAGTGAGCCACAGGTGAATGGTCTTTAGGTGTGTGTAATGAATTATTCTCCAGAAAAAGCTTTAAGTCACCTTGCCCTGAAAATGGATATTGGTAAATTGATCAGCCCACAAACATGGGATAAAGTGCAAGTCAGGCAGATTGGCATTTCTCCAGACTGAGTTGAGATCTGATCATTTTATGATCTGAACAGCAAGTCATGTTTTTGTAACTTCATGGATAATTTTACAGAATGGCTTACAGCTTTCCTGTCTGTTAAACATTCTTCAAAATCTAACACTATTGTCAGAGAATGATGAACTGCCTGGAGGACCATTTTCTGTGTGGTTCAGTTTTCTTCCTGTGCTCTTGGAGTATACTTTTAATAAAGATTTTGAGTCAAAAATATTAATTACAAATTGAAATTTCTTTTTCTTATCTATCTCTTGTTTGAATCTGATAGTTACTCTTTCACTGTGACCCCCATCTCTGGCTTCTTCTTTCCCTCTAAGTTACAGATGAGAGAGAATTAGTCCCAGGAGGTAGAAAATCTGGAAGGTATATGTCTGAGAATTAACAGTAAGGCCGTCTTCTGGCTGGGTTTGTTTAGGTAGTTGGCAGAAAGGCCCCAGCCAATCTGTTCCCATGTGGCCGACCTAACAGACAGAAAAGAGACAGCAAATTTGGGCAGATAAGCAAAACAAACAAAAACCATCCCAACTAACCCAAACAGCATGTTACTGAAGGGAGTGGACTATGGATAACTGAAGGGAAAGGGGATAGAGTGCTATAAAACAAATGAGAAGAAGGTGTAACTCTACTTTTGCTTTGTTTTTTGAGACAGGGTGTCTCTTTGTAGTTCAGGCTGGCCTTGGACTCCTGGCAATCCTCCTGCCTCAGACGCCCAAGTGCTGGGTTTACCAGTGTGCACCACCATGCCCAGTTTCTAGTTAGTATATTTTAGGTAGGATGAGATCTAAGGACCTCATATTAAACAGTGTGCATTGCACTTAGGGATTCTGAAAGACTTCCCTTAAAGAGCTACATTTTTTTCAAAAGTTTATTTATTACCTCTTGGGCTATTATTTATAATACTTCCTAAGCCTTCCTTTCACTCTGCTCCTAGATTTCTATCATTTTAGAACTAATGGCCACGGAAAACAAACATACATAGAGCATGCCTAATGATCTTAGCTAGGACCTTAACCATGGTAACTATGCCACAGCTCTTTGATTACTCTTCCATATTGGTTTGTTCTCGGGGCTGGGGATTTAGCTCAGCAGCATAAGCGCCTGCCTTGCAAGCAGGCAGTCGTGAGTTTGATCCCCGGTACCGGTAAAAAGGAAAAAGGGGGAAAAAAAAAAAAAAAAAAAAAAAGAAGTTTGTTCTCAGGCTTCCTGTAGAATAGGTCAGGGGGAGGCACTACCTGATCCTTAGCAGTACACCATATCTGAGTTCTTCTAAGGCCAAGGCTCCACTTGATGGTTTAGTCCTTTCCCTTGGGTACGCGTCTCACCGTACGCTAATAACTGTCCTTTTAAGTTTAAAGCTGGTAAAGACTTTCTACCTTGCAAATCCCTAGGTACACCATGGTTGCTTGCTGGTGCATTAAACCAGCCTACATCTTTGTAAATAATCCTGTACAAAAACGTGCCCCATTAGCCCTCTGAGTGTGTTATTTCTTGCTAGAGCCCTTGCTAATTGAATCACTTTCTTTTTCGCTAGCCCTTGTCCTGCTTTGAAATTCCTTTTGAATTGAGTCCTACTTCTTTCTATACCCAGTGTCCTGTGCCTTATAACAGATTTTCAACAGCTCAATTTAATAACATGTATCAGACACCTACACTGTACTAGGATCTATGGCAGTCACATTTTCCTCAGTCTTTTAAAAATCACTTAACTGGCTTAGTGTCTTCTGTCTCAATTTTACTGCCAGATTAATATTAATAAATAGTACTTTGTTTAGATTCTTTTCTACCTGTCTCCAGTGGCTGTTAACTATCTAAATAAACAAATAAACTTGTTAGCCTGAAATGTAAGCCATCCCTCCATTGTCTGGCTTTATTTTACTTTTTCAACCTACAAACCTCTCTTCTAGATTAGTTAACTGTCCATTAAGTATGCCTGGGGCTTCCTGTCATAACTTTACTCGTACTGTACTATCTACTAAGGGTCCTGTTTCTCTGCAGTCACCTTGATTTGTTGGTTCTGCATGCTGAACTCAAACCCCAACTCCTCAAACTCTTCGAGACCTTAAGAAGTGGTTTCTCCCTCCCCAAAACTGTTCATTATCTGTTTGGTTTTTTAACAGGTAATGATGTCAGACATTGTGAAATATGTCCTCTGAATCTTTTATGGTTATTTTAACAAAATCTACCCACAGCACTCTGTATCAGCCATAGGAACTTTAGGCAAGTTCTTATCTCCCTCCTTTCTTTCTTTCTTGACAGATGATACAGAGCATCACACGTGCCAGGCACTGTGAAAGATGCTGAGCTGTGCTGGTGACCAAACATGTAATACAATTCTCATTCACCTAATACTTAAAGTCTAGTGAGCAAGACAGGCAACAGCCAAATAAATTCACAAGTAATATAAAATGACAGCTGTCTTAAGGATTCTTTAGCAAACACCTTCCAAATAGCTTTTAAAGGGGAAGATGGGCTGGGGGTTTAGCTCAGAGGCATAAATGCCTGCCTGGCAAGTGTGAGATCTTGAGTTCAATCCCCTGTACCAAAAATAGCTAAATAAATAAATAAAGGAGATGTAAAAATGTTAAGCCCCAGGAATACAAAAACTAAGTTTAATCCAAGAACGTCAAGTTGCTCTGAATCTTGGAGATTATTCCTATTGGCCAGTGACTATGGACCCAATTTTCAGAGGGATTTGTTTAATTTACAGTGGTTATAGATGAAGAAGGCCGGGGGTTTGCAGGTAGTGGGGAGAGTCCCAGAGGGAACAGAAAGTAGAAAGCTATAAGCCTATCTATCTCTTGGTGGCAAATATTATATCACATTTCTTTGTTAGTCAAATGATGCCTTGACTCTTTTGGGGGAAGAGGTTACCAGGAGTTGAACTCAGGACTTCACACTTGCCAGGCAGGTGCTGTGCCACTGAGCTAAATCCCAAGCCTCTGCTGACTTTTCTTGAATGTGTTCTAACCAGACCTCTTAGGTTCATACCACTCCTTGCTTCGTGTCTGTCCCTGTGAGATATTTCCCATGGAGGGCTTACTCTTTAGCACGTTATTAATTCTGTACGTGGCACTAGCATATGTGACTTGTTGTTTCCCTCAGTTATATTTGTTACGTGCTGTTTGATATTTTCTTTTTCTTTCCTCACAGGTTTGTAGGAATTAAAAACTTTTAGGTGTGTATTTTATACATTTCCTTTGTCCTATGACTCTCCCTAGTGTTTCATGAATATTGCAGATTTATTAATGATCCCAGTTTTTTCCCCTCCTTGTACCTCTGTCCTTCCATCTCTGAGTAATAAGTCAGTGACTATAAATCTGTTGCTTCTTATCAGAGAAAATTCAAGCCTGGATACTGACAATCAGGCCTTTCTTAGGTAAAGGTAGAAGATAAATACATTTCTTTGTGATTTGGGAAAAGAAATTCATGATGGTTAAAGGAATTGTTTATTGAGGTGAACAAGTCTACATGGATAGAAAATCAGACTCATAGTCATTGGCCAAAAGGAACAGTCTCCAAAATCCAAAGCAACTTGACTTTCATAGATTGTTAGTTTTTATATTCCTGAGGCTTAACTTTTTTAGATCTTTTCCTTTAAAAATTGTATTTGGAAGATATTTGCAAAAAGGATCCTAAAGTTAATAACTGGAGGTGTAAGAAAGGAGTGGAAGGAATTGATGATATCACTAATGGAAATCATAAGAGGAAATCAATGGAAGAGGTCTGGTCTCCTAACAGGGAGTTTGGATTCAACCCTCTTCTCCCCTAGCCTACTGGTTCATGCCTTAACAATAGTAATAGTTAATATTTCTAAAAGAAACTCAAGTGGAAACCAAAGATTCGTCCATTTTTCCTTAGTAGCTTGTTCTGATCAAATAAATAAACCAAAAATAACTCACACACCTTTTTCCAAATAAACATGACTTATTTTGTATTCAATGCAATGAGTAGAAAAACCACCCCTGAATTCTTTCAATGGAATTGGCTATTGGTGAGCCTGGAAGCCCAGCTAACTTAACAACATAGGTAGTATGTTACTTTACAAATAAACTAGGTTACCTAGCATGGATAAAGGACCTTGGAAAAGGTGCAGTTTCCTGGCTTGTAGCAGAAGTATGATAAGCTGATCCTTTGATGGTCTTATTAGTTGACTGGGGTTGCAGATCAGCGGCAGGTAAATCAGGCAAAGCACAGTACAGGGATTCCAGAAACCTCTCATGGAGCTGCAGCATACCCCAAGGCAGATGGTAGCCCCAGACCTCATTTTCATACAGTTGCATAAAAACCAGAGTGTCCCCCTCCATGCCAAATGCCAGCCTTGGGACTCTTCTGGCATAGACAACACCGGCTCTAGGCTGTCTGCAGCTGTGCAGCGAGATGGGCTTCTGCTCTGGGAGTAGTTTGGGCCCAACAGCTCTTCGATTCTAGAATTTGGATTCTAGGGTTGAGGCTTCCCTCTATGGCCCAGAAAACACCAAAGCATTTAGCTTCTCAGTTTATTTCAGGGACTGGAGCTGCAATTGCTCCCACCCCCCGGAGAAGAAGGGAAAATGCAATGTACTTCAAGAGAGGAAAACAGGAAAGTGCATTTATTTACTCATTTATTTATTTATTTGCTACAGTAGCAGGATGCTGCTGGGGATGGGGACACACCGTATCAGTAGGAGTTTTCCTAAATTTCCATGGGTAGAATCTCTTCCTTCCCCATTTCTTCCCAGCTCTTCTCTTCCTGGTCCTATGAACACAGCTTCATCAAAAGCCTTGATGGATGCCTCATTATTTCTGAAGAGGAACTTCTATCACACGCTTCCCACCATTAAAACTGAAATCCATCAGCTCTGTCACTTCCATGTTAATACCAGGATCACTGGTTGTCAGTCTGAAAATCTGAGTGTTCTACTCCCACAACTAGGGCAAAATATCCACCCCCTCTGTTAAAGTCTCTGAATACTTCCTTTCTGTACATTCAGTATATTTGGGCATATATACATCTTTATACATATCTCTATATATTAACTCTGTTTTTTCTCTTTACATAAACCTTTCTTATAGATTGTATCTTAATGCACAAACCTCCACGTATGTCTTGTTTGCCAGCCCAAGTGAGACTCCAGGGTTTCATTGATTTCACTGGGTCCCCAGCCCCTGCTTTTCTCATACATCTGGTGCCCTTCCCCATCAATTGTTTTGCCCATCTTCTCAAATGCCCCCACCCCCACCCTGTGTTAACGTCTGTGCCTGCAGCTCTCCGCGACATTCCAAGTCTATAGCCCATCTCTAACCAGACTTGACTGCTTAAAGCAAGTCCTGTAGTCTGAAAGAGAATTCCCAGTCAGAGGAGATAGGCTGTAGTCTACAAAACTAGGATTGGGGTGGGAGGAGTTGTTCCTTGGGGAACAAGGGATATATTGGGGAAGGTGCCATGTTTTATTAATAGGACAATATTATTTAAAGTGCAACTTAAAACAAAGCTTGGAATTGTAGGGAAGTTAAAAATAAAAAGGTTAAAGCAGAATTGCTCTCTGTTCACACTGTTATTCAAGAATCTGGATCAAGTCGGGGGGCTTAGAATAGATAGCGAGGAAAAGAAAGAAAATAATTCCTTCAAGAGGGAAATAGCAACGTGCAAAAGAAACCAGATGGAGGACAAATTGCCAGTGGATAAGAGGTCCGTGCACGCACACATGCGCACGCACACATGCGCACGCACACACACACACACACACACACACACACACACACATTAGTATATTCTGTGCTTATACGCGAAATCAGGTAAGTATAATGTAGAATAAAGTTGAGTGCAGAAACTGGCTCTTTGCTTTCTATTCTTTCAGATTTTCAAGTTTTTCTGGTTCTCACTTTTATGAGACCCAGAGACTTATGGTGGGGCTTATAGAGAGTGGAGACTGAAGGGTCTTCCTTTTCAAGATATAGTTAGTTACGTTCCAGGAGAGTTCAGTGTTTAAGAGGACTGCACAGTTGAAGTAGGTCCAGTCTCAAAATTCTGTGAGTTTCTCTACAAGGCTCTGCACGTAGATGCATGTATACATTCTACACAGGTGTGTAGCTTGTAAAAACTGAGCACACCTTAAATAAAATTCACACACAGATTCCATGCCAAACCACTTTGTGGGGATTCCTTTGCACCTAAGTGAGACCAGGGAGTACTCATGGGATTTGGGGCTTTAGGAAACAATCTGGTGCCCATATGCCCTTCCTCGACTCCTACCAGACCCCACTAGGAACAAGGAATGGCCTTTGTCTTATCTCTTAGAGTATCTTTTAAACTTTCCTGAAACTATCCCACGCAGAGGAGAGTAAAGATAACACTGATTTTCATCATTGTATAGAAAGTTTCAGGATTGGCTGAGGGTAGCCAGGGTTGTTTGATCAAGAGGTATCATTTTCACCCCACCACCACCACCAACATTGTCTAATCATATAACCGGAACTTTTCAAAAAGAAATTAGGAGGTGTAACAGAATAGTGGCTGCCAGCCCAAACCTTAACAAAGAATCACAAATTCTATACATCAGCCTGGAAATCTGAGAATGTACCCATCCCTCCTGGTGAACTTGGTTTAACTTTTCTGCGGTGGGGGTGGGGTCTATGCCTGCAGATCTAGTCTTAGTTACACATTGGTGTTAAGAGAGGAAAGGCCTTGTTCTCTCCTGTTCTCTAAAAGAGAGGTCTGCACTAGGTGGGAAAGTGAAGAAGAATCACATATGTGTGATCAGGAATGTCATTTTCAGTCCTTTCCATGGGCCTAGACTCTAAACTTATACATGGGAACGTATTGGCCAGAGTCCTCTCATTCATAGAATACAGGGGAGCAAATCCCAGGGCAGCCTGGAGGACAGGTTCAAAGCTTTGGACAGAAGCTCAAAAATTGAGAACTCAGAATCCAGGATGGGTGTAGGTGTGGGTATGGTGAGTATATGTCTGTTTCTCAGGCCCTTTCCAATTCTCTGAAAATACAAGCTGTGAAAGAACTATATATCCTCAAATCTCCATTTGGAAACTAAAAAAGGGAAAAGTAGTGGTAATCGAGGGCCCAGATTATGGTCAAGAGTTACCAGCAAAAATTAAATACACAATGACAACCTCTGGTTTCTTTGAACGGGGGTTGATAATGACTCTAAAATAAAGTGATTTCAGATTCTTACGTTTCTGAGGGTACCGACCACATAGCAACCATCAAAAGAGTCTTGCCTGAGAGAACTTAAACATAGAGTAGGGGCCTCCAGCCTCAAGTCACCGAGCTTTCTGTGGGGGGGAGTCTATCCATCCAACCACATGGTCCCCTTAACGTGAGTCTCCAAGCATGGCTGAGGCCTTCGAAGCCACCTCAGCCTAATCTTCTCTCTCCTTCCCCCATCCTGGCTTAAGGGAGTTGTGTGCCTTAGGGTAGAAGCAGGGGAAGGTGAAAAGGAACAGGAGGAGGAAATGTGGGCTTCCAGCTGGCCTACACCACTGGCAGGCCTCTGGATTGAAGAAGGAGTATAAGGGATGGGTGCTTCTGGGGCTCTGCAGCAAACCCAGGTAGTATCCCTTGCCCAGGGCATTGAAAGAGAGGAAGAGAACAGAGGGCTTGGGAGGTAGGAAGAGGCCATCAAACGTTGCTGATACGCACACTGAGGGCGCTGCCCTCCTTCTCAGCTTGCTCCCTTAATGACTCCTCCAACTTGAGCTTTTCAGGGTCCCCATAGCGCACAGTGCTGTCATGAAGGCCACTAGGGGGGGCCACTTTCACAACTTGGTCAAAAAGACTGAAGTCAGCTATGTATTTGCCACTGGCTGACAGTGAGATGGCTGGTGTGAACTCATAACCCCAGAGGATTTCCTCCGGCAGGTAGGAAGTGCGCACCTGGCAGGTGGCACTGGTGGACTCCACTGTCCCGCTCAGAATTAGCACCAGCTCAAAGTCACCCTCACCACTGCGAAGAGGGAGATCTTTCAAGGGACTGGTCTCATCTACCACATGATAAAAAGTCAAGGGGAGGATGAGGAAGGGGCTATCGGAAGCCGTGTCTACTTGGAAAGTCACATTGACCTGATTGAGCCGGATGTTCTCACCCTCCTTGGTCTGGTGGGTCTGAAGCAGTTTGCCTGTCACCTGGCAGCCAATGAGGAGGCTCTTCCGCATATTGGCAACTCGGATCATAAGGCAGGGCTTCCCATTGTGGGAGGCTACAACCGCATGCTGGCTGAAACGGATGGTCTCGGCTCGCTTCTTGGGCCGGGCAATCTTTGCCAGGAAAGTACCAGTGATGAAGATTTCCAGGATGGTGGTGAGCACCAGTTGGGCAATAAGAAGCACAATGGCCAGAGGGCACTCCTCACTGATGTAGCGGAAGCCATAGCCAATGGTGGTCTGGGATTCAAGGGAGAAGAGGAAGGCTCCAGTGAGTGTGTGCACCTGTACCACACAAGGGGTGTGGTTGGCAGGGGGACCCAGCTCCAACAGGTCCCCATGGGCCACCGCCACCAGGTACCACACCACGCCAAACAGGAACCAGGTGCCCGCAAAGGTTGCAGAGAAGAGCAGAAGCTTGTAGCGCCACTGCATGTCAATGAAGGTTGTCCATAGGTCCTTGAGGTAGAGGAAGCGCTTGTCGGCGATATGCTCCATTCGCACGTTGCTACGACCATCTTTTGTCAGGACTCTCCGCCGCCGTATTCCTGGGCCCATTATGGGCCGGCTTTCTGTCTGAGTGGTCTGACTGTAATACACCTTGGCAACGGATGTCATCTGGAGGGAGCAAGACAGCATCAGGGAAGTTACTGCAGAGATCCAGCTAACTCATAAACACCAATGACAAGGAGGAATTAACATTCATTTTGGTGCCCTTTGCTCTTTTATTGCAAGTATTTATTAAGCACTTGCTATATGCCAGACATTGTACAAGGTGCTGGTAAATCAAGAATAAAAATTACATCATCCTTGCTCTCTAAGATGCACTATAGCAGAAGGTACATGTTCAGTAAGTATGTAATTTTCAGAAGAGCAGAGAGACAGTGATACAAAAGTAATTCATTGTTCATCGGAAGTAGGGGTGAGACTAGAGAAGGCTCTACTGGTCTATACAAAATCAGTTTTGTGAAGGTATCTAATTTGATTTCCCCATCCTTGTGAATATTATGAGGCAAGAAAGGTTATTCCACTGAAATTCTTCTAGGTCAATCCTCTTACCATACACACATACTCTTTCTCTATTTTCTCTCTTAGACCCAAATTAATACTTGTGGATGATACTAAGATACTCATCTGGCTGAGGAAATAGCAGAAAATACTCATTTTTCTACCCTTCCAACACACTTCACAAGTGCCCACCCATTTTTTTAATCATCATCTGTTTGCATCATCTGAGGAAATTAGGCCTAAGTTAGGGTCTAGACTGGTATTAGGAAGATCACAGGCAGGAGCTGAACAAATAAAAATAAGTAGTGGTGGAAGAGAAACAGCATACATCAGCTTCCCGGAAGCACTGGGACATTTTTCCAAGAATTGGCAGATTATAGGTAACATAACTGTCTCCACAGATTCAATAGGAGCAGTAAGAAGCGTATGTTAGTTGCTATTCCTGCCCAGGCTCGAATTCGGGACTGCTGTGTGCCTTGATAGTAGTAGAAAGTGGGACAAGGGGCTGAAACAGGAGACAATTCACCTAACACAAGGTGCCTGGCACCCCTGCCTGGCCAGGGAGGGACTTGTACTTTTCCAGCAGAGAAAATTTTAATTACTTGAGCCCTTGGACTCTGAATCTGATGACCAGATCTTCTTGGATGGAGCAGGGTGCCATGGGGAGTTTGACCCTTTTGGGAGATCAGAGAGCTCTGCCTGTCACGTTCTCCATTTCAAAAGAATCTGAAGCAGTTTTATCATACTTCACACCTTCTCCCTCCTCTATTTTGCCCTGACTTGCCCCTGGAAAATTCTAAATTACTACATTCATCCATACTCCCATCAAGGTAGGCAGTGAACTGAAGATCACCAGTGAAAGAGAATCTCAAGAATCTTCAGAAGCAACCAGATTGCCCATCTTACCCACCAGTAGGTTATTTGGAACCTTTATTTATGGGAGAATATTGTTCAACTAGTTTTATTACCAATGTTCTGATTACTCTGGAGCAAAAAAAAAAAAAGTTTTACAACTCTGAAGAATTCCTATTTAAGGGCAAATAAAGCCCAATTTGTTCAGTAGTGATAATAGTAACAAATCACCACCACAGTGCCTGTGTATATACACAGTACTGTTTTAGAGTTCACACATAAGCATACCTTCTTATGTAATCTTCATGCTCTTGAAAATATAAAGTCTGTATAAGAAATTTTAAGGAATATTAGAGAACTGAGGAATTGCTGCAGAGTTCGTGATTGAACATAATTTTTTAAATTTTTTCTTTTTGTCTTTTTGAGACAGGACCTCATTATACAGTTCAGGCTAAACTTGAGCTCACTTTGTAGCCCAGGCCGGTCTCTAACTCGCAAAGGTCCTCCTGCCTCAGTCTCCCAAGTGCTCGAATTACAGGCGTGAGCCACCACGCCTGGTTCATAATTTTAATTTTTGAAAAGAAAAAAATATACATTTCATAAACTATAGACAAACAGGAGATAGTGATCCTAGACAAAATTCTTAAATGGAATAGGAGAGGAAGTTATCAACAAAATTCAGCAAAGCTTCACCAAGAACAAGTCACATCCAAATGATTTCTTTGTATGAATAATAGGTTATTAAGCTGACAAATCAGAGAAATGCAATAGATAAACTGTATCTCAGCTTCAGCAAGATTTTTGACAAGATCTCTCAGTATGTCCTTGGTGACAAGACAGAGAAAAATGAACAGAATGGCAACTAGATAATGTAAATTAGATGATGATCAATTAGATGATGTAAAAATTTAAAAATAAATCAGTGGTGCTTTGAGAGAACCATGAGAATCTGGAGTTAATTTTCTCTTGATATGCCAGAGAGCTTTATCTTTGCTCTTACTTTATTCATTGCTCTTAACAAAATTTTATTCAAAATTAGAAAATACTATGGACATCAACTATGTGGATGACAGAAAGACAGGAAGGATTGGAAATGCAGGGGCTAAGTAGTCTTAAGACTCAGAAGCAGCCACAGAAATGGGCCAAATCTAACAAAAAGGATAAATGTTGATTTCTGTGTTTGGATACAAAACTATCCTCAATACAAGTTCAGGATTCAGAAGATGTAAGTAAGCAAGTGGTACCAGGAAAACAAGAATTAAACATTTTAATAGAAAATAAGCCAATATGAGTTATTGATATATTTTGATGAACTAAAAAGCAATACAATCTAAGTTGATTCTACTCTGTTCAGTTTATCCTACACGTGCAGTACAGTCTACAGGAACAATCATGATGTGAGGGGATTCAGGATCAGATCACATGAGAAAAAGGAAATGGGGGATTTAGGCAATAGAAGAGACAAACTGAAGGATGGAGCAGATGTCTGCAAATACTTGGCTTGAGAAGGGCTGTCATGTGAATAAAAGTTTGGACTAGTTCCTTGAGCACCAAGAGAAGCATTCAGAGCCAGTAAGTTCAAACTACAGGAAGAAAGATTCCAGACTGATATTACAAAGGGCTCTGTAACAGGACAAGCCAAACGTTTTAAGAAGCTCCTCCAAATATGAAGAGTGCCCAGATCCTGAAGATCTGCAAAGGTAGACTAGATGAGCATTTTACAGAGATTAAACTTTGGATGGGGATTGAAAGATCCAACTGCATTCCTGGCAGATGGAGGTGCTGTTGCATCCCACCTCTGCCCGTGCACTTTCTGTATTGATGTGTAAGGACTCTTTTTAAAGTCCTGGTTTTGTGTTGAGGGGAGATTCTGTATACTGGGGAGAGTGGAAGCTCTAAGGACCCATGGAAAGCTCTGCTTACCATTCTCAAAATAAGAGCCTCTGATTACTTACCACTTTAAAGCTTGTAAAATACATAATTTGGTCCTCATACCATGAGATAAGTAGAAAGGTACCATTACAAACTAAGACTCAGAGAGGTTTGCTCCCAACTAGGCTAGTGGTGGAGGCCTTCAAGCTCCTGATCTAGAACTTTAATTGTGGCAACTGCTCCCGTGAATGCCAGGTTTATTGGCCTGGGTCTCCTGCTCTCAGAAGGTACTTCTACGGTACCTCTCACAGAGGACCACTGCTGAGATAGAGAAGACAGAAGCTGGAGCTTCTGAGCCCAGCCTAAAGGCTGTGGACTCACTCGTGGGCACTGGGGATTTTGGCCACTGGGCAGCCTGTGTTGCCTCTGGCTGTTGTGTTTGCCGCCTCCAGCTGCTGCCTGCTGCTGCCTGCCTTTGTATCTGCCACCTCCAGCTGTGAGCTGCTGCTCCCAGCTGTTGTGCCACCTCCCACAGCCAGGCCCTTTGTTCTCCACGGTGGCCAGAATCAGAGTGGATAAACAATCAGCACACTCCACCCCCAAGCTGGCCAGGGCCCTGGAGAAGCAAGCAGGCCAAAGTTCTGGAAGTGGCTTGTTGTGGCCCATCCAAAATACACATGTTCCGTCCTCCAGAGGGCGCTATTTCCCCAAACGATCTTAGCTAAACATTAGGGCCAGCCTTCTAAAGTCCAGAACAGCCTCTGAGCAACAGACAAAAGCAGAGACATCCAACTTCTTCCTAGTCTAAGAACGGTACTAATGATTCTTTCCCCGAAACAAAAGCCAGCCATAGCTACAAGGATGTCCAGCATGGTTCTTCAGCAAACATCACTCCCACCTCCTGTTTAATGCTGTCAGCTCCTCCTAGAGCAGCCTTTTCTTTACCCCATTTATTTTATGGGACAGTCATTTATCTTCTAAATGAATAGATGTATCAGACTGCAGAATTGCTCTTAAGTAAGGAAATGATTCGTGACTCTCATGCCTAAAATTGGCTAAGGCCTCCTATTGCTTTTAGGATAAGCCCCAAGCTTCTTAGCGCAGGATTCAAGGTCCGTAGTGATTGGTCTCTGCCTACCTCTAGGCCTTCCTCTTGACAGTCTTCCACAGACACTAGTTTTGGAAAGAGGCTCACTGTCTGACCCTTTCCACTTTTGGACCAGCTTTTGCACCGCCCAGCCTGGAGTCTACTGATGATCTCCTGCTTATATTTCAAAACCAAATCTATATATTGGAGATGCCCTTGCAAGATTACCCTATCCTCAGAAAAATAGTACATCTTCCCTGTGCCCTCTCCCACCCCACTTAGGCGTGGGTTTACTGACATGCTCTTGCACAAATTACCATGTTATTACACCATGGTGCTTTGAAATGTTTGTTTATCATTGTTTGCCATCTGTGAGCCCTTAATTTAAGGCCAGGACTGTGCCTTGCATCTGTTTCCCCAGAACCAACTATAGTAGCTAAGAGAGACTGTCTGAAGGGGTAACTGAAAGCCTGAGTTGGACAGGCAGACGCTGAAGGGGGTGCACAGCCTTGGTCTGCCTCCCAGGAGATACTGAATTGTGGAGACCTCAGGGAGCCATGACACAGGAAGAGGGGATTCAGCTTTACACAAGCTTCACTTATGCCAGAGGCTTACCAGTTCTTTTTTGGAAGGTGGGCAGAAGAAAGGCCAAAGACTTCAGTGCAAGCCCTTGTCTGGGTCAACTGTTCTTTTGCAGGATGATGATGAAAGAATGATCCTTTAAATTGCAGTGGAGCCCTAGGGTTGACTATGCTACAGGAGGTGGCTAGAACGGATGTATCAACCCCCTCCAGCAGGT